CTCTTTTCAACATACCAATTCGGAAAAATAATGTATTTTTGGACAAAATGTCGATAAAGTTGACTCAAAAATTCACCGAAACACCGAATTATCCCCGAAACCCCGAAACGATCCGAGCCCCCGAAAAGATCCCGACCGACACCCGACCGACAATGTCGGGTATCGGTCGGTTATCGGTGAGCATAGCTGATTGTCGGTCGGTTGTCGGGTCGAAAATTCGGCCCCGATGAGAACACTAGTATTGACCTTCGATGGAAAAAGATTTTACGGTGTGAAATCTCCGTTGGACGTCTTCCAAAGCATTCCAAACGTACACAGATACGAAAAATTTCCAATAGGTGTCTCTTTTTCGGACAATATGACAATCCATCCATATTTTCGGACAAATTCACTCATATTGTCTCATTTTGTGGCCAACTTCATACTAATCTATCTACAAGTGCCAAATGTACAATAGTATGTATAATAGTAGTAGGGTTGGCCAAAAAATGAGACAATATGAGTGAAGTTGTCCGAAAATATGGATGGATTGATATATTGGCCTAAAATTGGACAAGGGTTATCCAATAGTGTTGTCTGTGTAGCTCTCGATACTTAGCTTCATCAAATTGGAACACTTTTGATCCACAAGAGCGATAATCTGCTTCAATTGGCCGTTGTTATTAAATTCATAATGAATTTCAAGATCTAAAAGGTGAAGTCCAAAACCTTCGAGCACCAGAACCGCTATGCTGTGGTTAGTAATCGAAATATAGCGATCATTTACGGACACCTTATCTTTGGATACATCATCTGATTTTCAATATAATGGATCTATTTGCGAATTTGCGTCTGAACACATCAGCCGCCGCCAGTGAAAACTCCTCATTGATGTTAGCCGCATTTACCAACGCTCGAAAATCCAATTGTTCCAAATCGGTTAACTTTATTTCATTGGTCTGTAATTCAAATGGAATGGATTGCACTGGAATGGATCGACCAACCGCATAGGAAAATGAACCCTAGAAACAAACTTGTTTCCATTGTGCTGACTGATTTTTATTTCCAACGCACAAGTAAAAATAATGTTTTGAGTTCAAATTTGTTTTCTGCCGATCATTCCGTTGTTTTGTCTGAATTCGTGGGCAATAAAATTGTTACTGTCACATTTGATCAGTTGCTATGAATTAAATACATATTTCTCAAATCGAAAGTGTATCATTTTCAGAGAGGGAAGAAAATATATTGATTGCTATTCATAAATTGGAAGTTGTGTTCAATGTTGTTTTCACATTCTTTTGAATTATTATTTGTGTGACTCTTACTTGGCTTAATCTTAATTATACTTAATCGTTTTGACGTGTTATTTTCTTTCCAAAGATGCAGCAAAACCAAAGTTTTGCTTTGCTAAATCGAGTGTTCAATATTACGGTTATCTATTTCTATCCATTTGCCGTTTAAACTGTTCGGATTCGTTAGTTGTATGTGCAATGGATTTTGTTGGTGTTCCTGATATTGCTATACATTATTATTGACGGTCTTGGTTTTCCCTAGACGTTGACACTGCCAAAATGATTCACATTCATCTCGGTGAAAGCTGATTATCAACGGAATTGAACTTTTTAAATCAACAACGAATGATGCGAACGCATTTGTTTATGTTTTTTTTTCTTGATCATTTGTTTGCATCATGTCAAACTTTCGGTTACATCAGGATTTCAAAAGCAATCTAATCTGTTTCCTCATTATACAATATACAGCGAGTGATGTCAACATTTTTATAGTATTCTCCAATTATTTGGATCAATGATGGAAGGTATTTGGACCAGGATGCAGGATTTTTAACTAAAACAGATCAAATATCAGATACTATCCTGCGAAAATACTTGTTTTCGTTCCATCAGCCATTGATGTTTGCATACATTCAGGCGGTGCGAAGAATTTTTCACGTTAGAAAGTCATTCATTGAATTCATACATACATCGTCCGCAGTATATACGGTCTAATTGATTTACTGAACTTTTTAATTGACCTCAAGTCCGCAAAGATCTTCAAACCTTTTCGTGCTTTTTGAAAGATGCACTAAATTGAATGTTTTCTATATCGCCTAATTCTCTGTAGCATTTGAAAATTGTCGTGCTGTTTGTTACATACGAATGTGCAATGATCAATTTGGTTGTATCATCTCGGCACGAAAATTTCCAAATATTTCGTTTACCCTGTTAAAACGTACTCAAATATTTTCTTTTCTAAATTTATGAATGAAAAAGTGATTTTGTATAAAATTGGATAAAACAATAAATAAAATCTTTATCAGAACCGTGCGAGAAGATATTAGTATCACCAACCAGAGGGCGATATAGAAAAGATTTAGTACATCTGTAAAAAAGACCGCAGATCGTCGCTTCGCTCCGCTCTGCGTTCTTGAAGCTTGTAAATTTAAGGGGTTTAATTAATTTGATGTTTCTCATCAAATTATTATTATCGTAAGCACTACATGGAATGTAGTTTTAATCGTTGGAAATGTTTGTTTCACAAGTTTTAGTTATAAATCATTTTAATATTGTCAAAAATAATTAAATAAATTCATATGATGATATTGTATTCTTGACTTATGTGTTTTATGTACAATGTACATTGTACGTTCAATGTGAATGGTCATCGTACATTATTTCACATTGGCAACGAAAAAAGTGTCGAATTTTTCTTTTCGAGTCATCTCAAAATTGAATTACGTGAACATGATATTATTTCATTTTTGCAATTAAGCGTAATTGCTTCATTTGAAATAAAAAATATAGATATTAAAATGAATTAGTTTACGGTCCAAAAAATGGCCTAAAGAGTCTTAAGAATTTTTCGGGAAAAAAAATCACTACAGTAGCCTACATTCTATGTAGTGCTAAAAAGCACGATTATTTGCTATAGCCGGTATAAAACTCTTTTAGGATCTAAGATATGTGATCCGAAATTTTGGAGCACCAGCACAGCAACGTCGTAGATTTAAATCAAAATAAAATCATCATATACTGTGTTGGCGTTGCAGAAACACTGGCATTGATGGTAAAAACATACAGAAAAGTAAACACTAGGAATGAACCTATTTCCTTTGTGCTGATTGACTTTTATTCCGCAACGCACAAATCACGAGTGACGTTCATTGTTCACGGTTCAAAATTTAATCGTGTCTTCTTATATTCGTTCTTATCATGCTCAGTTCGGTTTTGATTATTCTTAATCGTTTTGAAGCGCTATCAAACACGTGGGGAATCCAATGTTAAACGTTACGAAATTGAAGTTTCATGCTTAGGGGAAGATAGGGAATTGAAGATTTCAAGAGATTGATTAAGATTCAAATAAATTGAGCTGACCAAACGGTTGTCCACTCCTTGTGTTTCGTTCTCGCAATCATTTACAAATTTGTTTCGTCACACAATCTTTTCGAATTCGTGTACGGATTCGTTGGTTGATTATGTTATGATCTTTAATTTGACCCATCTGAACTCTAATTACCATTTATGATGAACATTTCCGCGTTATTTAATAGTTCGGATTAGTTTTTTTTCATCATTGTTACGACAAAAAGATCCATTCTTGTTGTAGTCGTGAAGCTTCATTAAATTTCGTGTAAAGATATCAATCGAATTTGTCAGCATAACGAGTCTACGTCAAGCGGTGCATCAGTTATCAACAAGAATTTGCGCGAAAATGAAGTGTGGCTCAATAATTTTTTCATTTTACTATTCCAAAACCGAAAACAGTGATTTTTTTCTGTAATCGTGTGGGCTCTTTAAATTTTTCTCCGTTATCATAACTATCGGAGAATCTCCGATTCGGAGATCGTCCAACGGCTGACATCAAACGCAACTGAAGAGCAGCAAAAGATGTCAAGTCACACAGACAATGTGTTGACTAAAGATGAATTGATGGCACAACATCGTTCAAATAGGAGAGCAGAACCGTTTAATAAATGCTGTGTCAAAAAGTCAAAGTTTTTTTTTTAAGGCGAACGAGAGTAGACGCCACCGTTGGCATTAACAATAATGCTGAGAGATGCACAAAGGAAAGAAAACAAACAGTTTGGACGTTCAGCAGTGTGAGAAAAAAATCCATCACAAGTTGAGTCAATTGATCATAACATAATGGCTGTGTGTGCACTCTGGATCGATGTGGGATTAAAAACACTGGCGTTTAGGCTTTCGATTGAAATGATCGGTATTTGTACCTTCTCTATGGGATTGCTTTCATTCTCTATCTAATTTAATATATCTCTAATGATATCCAAAAGACTCTTGAACTGATTTCTTTCTCTCTATCTGTCTCTGTGTGTTCATAAAAGGTTTTGCCTGAGCTTGGGAATTTCGATCGATGCCATAGCTATGAAATACGAACGAATCGGTCAACCATTAACTTGACATCGAGTGCGCTTCATATTTTTTCCAAATATGTTTTTATTCATCTTTTACGTTCGGCACATTCTTCGTTTTTATTGTTAAATTTTGCCTTTTCGATCATTTCAATTCCAGTTTTTGAACAGTCAAAACAAACATGAAAAAAAAAAAAACTTAAATGTCGACACTTGAACCGTTTTTTTAGTGAAAAATAACGCTGATTCATCGACAAAATCAGGTTATTTGCATCGGTTGTTCTTCTAATGAAGAATTGCCCATACGAATGCTGTGGAAATAACAAAAGTGGACACATCGTCAGTCCGACACACACATGTTAGTGTTTTTGAATTGTTCAAAAAATATGTAATAAGATACTCTGATTTTCATTGAAATAATTTTATTGATTATTTTGTTGAATCGATTCGATTTCATTGGTGAAAAAGAACAGGGCATATCAGCATTTAGCTTTTAGCCCACAAAATCAATCAAATGTACGGAATTCGATGAAAAATGCTGTATTATGTGTCATAATTTATGTAATCTGTTTCGTTTAAAATTAGTATTGATTTCCATCTGCTCTGATTTTTCATTCAAATTAAAGACACTAATTCATTAAAAAAAACAACTCTCTCATAAGTAAAACTCATTTATATTCATAAAAGGCAGAAGCATGTTTTCATTGACAATGTATTTTTGCACTTTAAATGTCAGAAAGAGGATAAAATTTTAATTTCAACCACGAATTTAACCTCTAATTTTCAAAGAATTTTTGAATTTCACAACCCAAAATATGAATGAAAAAAGAATGAATAGATCAACAATTTCTTTTAACCTCTAAACGTATAATAGTTGGTATCTAATCCAATGAGTCGCATTTGCCCATCGATCCAGTCACGAGCCTGTGCCACATTTGCATATACAGCTGGAATAGGTCTCTTGCAGCCGAGTCCCCATGCTACGATACCATTCTGAGCGAATCTATTGTCACTTGGTCGTCCGATGGGGCACACTAAAGGTGCTCCTCCATCTCCCTATTTCGATTCGAATGGCATTAATGTCTCGATTATTGAAATGAATCAACTCTTCTATTTACCTGACATGTGTCGACTCCCTCAACACCACCAGCGCAAATGAATGAACCGTCCAAACGGAATTTATCACCTAGTCGTTCTGCTTGCAAAGCTCGTTCACATTGATTTCGATCAACGATGCTGAGTGGTACTTTCTTCATGATCACACTATATTTTCCCTCTTGTCCAAAATTATCTTTACCTGAAAACAAATAGATATTAAAAGTTGAAAAAAAAAAAAAATAAAGATCAATAAATCTGCAAATCTAGAATGAGTTCTAGTTTAATCAATTAGCTAATTTGGTACAATTTCTATCTAATTGAATCACATGTTAATTTCAATACATGAAATAAACGGAATTCTATTCAATACATACCCCAACCAGAGGCGAAGCATTCTTTTTGATTCGCTACAAAGCCAGGAGGTGGCAAACACACTGTGCTAATGTGACGATCCATTTGGAATGGTTCTTCCAATTCAATTATAGCCTTGATGAAACATAGAAAAATATCAAATTAACTCAACACCAACAACATTGAATCAAATGGATTGCAAATTATTAAAAAAAATGTTAGAAAACAAGATTGCTTTGCTTCCTATGATTTATAATTACTAACAAAATCATTAGCCAAGCTACGCGTGTATTCGGGATGTCCGAGTATTCTTAAAACAGTACGCTCTTGATATGGTAAACGTTCTTTCGTCGTCTGGGTATCCCATTCACCAGATCGAACTTTCAAATCTTTCGCTTTCGTTACGAAACTACAAAGAAGATGAAGAAGAAGAGAAGAAAAAAGTGTTGAAATTAATTGTTGTTCTGGAACGCCGTTGTGATGATGATATTGCAAACTCACTCTTTTACACAGTGGAACCCAGTTAGAGCTGCTTTCGGATGAATCAACGATCCACCGCAAATGTATTTGTTGTACACTCCGGTCTCAATCAGGGCTAGTGTCCAAGGGAATTCACCAAATCCAGCTTCGTTATCCTTGGAATCAAATGAGAGACGGAAATTTTTATGAATGAATATGTCAGATAATTTCTTTGAAAAAATAAAAATAAAAACAAAAGCAGCACAGTGCTTTACTCTCAATGCGAGAGGCAATCAAAATAGATGAAAAACGATTTTATTGCAAGGATCTACTCACAAATGCCCCGGCTAATTCAAAATCGAGACCGTCAACATTACGAACGCCGCATCCGGCCTCTTGAGTTGTCACATTTTCATTTAGTTTCGGTACGAGAGATACATTCCGTTGAGCTGCGCCAACACAGCAAACGTCCAACACATCAACACAATCGAGTGGATCGTACTGAACATTAATTTTGCCAAAACCGGTCACTTCATTTTTGCTTTCGTTTGCAGTTTCGCCCACCATATTGATATTTGGATCGCACAAATGGTACGGCACACAAGTGCAGTTTTGTTGGTTTACTGTGCTCGTTTGAGGTGCAGTGGTTGGCATATAGGTTGGATCCGGTGTTACAACAAAGCCAGCGCTACGACTCGACTGTGTCCTTGGCTGTGATTGTTGTTGCTGTTCTTGTCCACCATTGGGTGGATTGAAAATCGTGTCAATTGTGCCTTGGATGGCTGAATCTTTATCATGACTTTGAATCTCTTGTCTCCTGTTTCGTTGTGGCGTCGCATTCACAGCGTAAATCACAGACAAACTTATTACGGCAAATAGAAGAAATGCCTTCATTTTCCAGTTACTAAATATGGTTGAATGGGGCGATAACTCAATCAACAAACACCGAACAGAAAACTGCTTTTAATTTGTTCCTCAAAACTTTATTAAACGTGCTCTACGTCTCGCTGAAAAGAAGATTAGCAAATAAATACTTTTTTCATCTCAAAACATCAAATGAAAAAAAAAAA